ACAATTCGATCAATAAAGTTGATAAGAACATGTTTATCGATATTGTTCAGTTAACTATATCTAATATTAACATTTTTTATGAGAAGTATAGAGAACAGCTTATCTGTAACAGTAGAATGATTTGATTTTATTTCTGATCATTTAAATATGGTTTTTTAAGTTTTGTTTCGACTGATAGTTTCCTCAAGTCACATTTAAAATAGTAATATCATTTAACAAGTTTGGAAGGCAATTGACTAGGTTATGCAAAACACAAATCCACCGGCACATTAGCTCACGATACCGATTAAGTTGGATGAGACTTCATTCGAAATAAAGATATTTTCCAAATATTTCCATAATTAATGATTACGTATAAACGTAATTCTGAAAACAAGTACACGCAGTTACAGATATCTGGTCAACACTTACTAGGTTAAAAACGCAATCTGCTGAAAAATCAAGAAGGTAAGAGAAATTACATTCTTAATCTTACGTCTAACTACATTATTATGTAGAGGGGTGTGACAGCAATAAGGTGTTTCCCTCAGACAACCAGCATCTGCAGCGATGCTGCCTTCTCACAAGGAAGGAAGGGTTAGAAAAGGTCGACCCTAAAAATGTAACACCTCCCCTAACTCACGGATTTCCGTCTCCTTGTGTAAGGGTGCCCACTAAGGGCCTTTAAGAACGGAGCTAAACCTCTAAATACCTTTCATATAAAGGCCGTACGTGACCGGCATCAAGCAGTTGTCCCTTGGGCTCTGCGGTCACGCACCAACACTAATCCATCTTCTTTTTCAGGTCCCTCAAGAAACAACCTTCCACGGTGCGGGCAGCCGGGAAGTGACAACCGCCCTCATACCCGCAACAGCACGCGAGATCAAATTGGTCAAAATCAAATCCTTCCTACACCCCCTAGTACCTCTCTTATCTCTACGACTAACTCTACTCACACTCCCTTTTCTCACTGCACCACTAATGCAGACGAAGTAAACGAGATCACGAAACGTCGTTCCTGGTCTCTTAAAACCCCGTTCTAGACTACATGTTGGAGCTTTTAATGTACGAACATTGTGTCAAATAGGGCAACAGGCATCATTAGCTAGGACTTTAGAATCTCGCGCCATCGATGTATGCCGCGTCTCGGAAACGCGCATACAGGATCCTAATAAAGTCATTAACCTGATTCCACCTTGTCAAAACGAAGAAGCAGCTTGATTTCCTCTTCGTGTATCCGGTAGCCCTGATGCTGCTTCCCGGGATCTTGCTGGCGTAGGCATAGCGTTGAGTCCTAGGGCAGAATTATCTCTCCTTGACTGGATCCCTGTAGATAGTCGTTTGTGCGCTGTCCGACTAAACGGGACAGTAAGGACTCGGAAGGATAGGGACACACGCCGTTGCCTCTTCGTCATATCAGCGTACGCCCCCACTGACTGCATCCCAGATGATGTAAGAGATGAGTTTTACAGAAAGCTTTCGGACCTCCTCCAAAAAGCTAGGCGCTCTGATATAGTAATAATGGCTGGTGACTTTAATGCTCAAGTAGGTAGACTAAGTGAAAATGAAAGACACCTAGGTGGATGTTACGGTCTCGGGGCTCAAAGAACAGACAATGGCGACCGTCTGTTGCAACTATGCTCAGATAACCGCCTATTCCTAGCGAACACCAACTTCGTAGGTTACTGGTTTTCGATCATAGGTGTCTTCGAAGCATTGCTCGTATATTGTGGGACACCCGAGTGAGCAACGCTGTTATTAGGAATCGGGTACTAGGTAAGAATGGCAGATCAATCGATGAAGTGGTGAAACTTCATCAGTTGAGGTGGTTGGGAGACGTGTTGCGTATGCCCAACCACCGACTGCCTCGAAGTGCTTTGTTTTGTAGTGTAGGAATAGGTTGGAAGAAAGCTAGGGGCGGCCAAACCAAAACATGGCAGAAATCCATGAAGTCATTGACGAGTGGACTTAGCCATGTCGGTGATTGTCGACTACCTGGTTGTGGTCCGCGAGGTGATAATAATCGATGGTTAGATACCCTGAATGACATGGCTCAAAATCGTTCACAATGGTGCCGGTGCTTTTATTCTTTGTGTTCTCTCAAATCCTAATCTTCTGAGTTCTTCAACACCTCTAGCTTTTACTTTCTAAACTTTTCTCACTGAATCATACTTCGTGAATAATATCTTCTAATTCTAACCTCTCCGATTACTTCTAATACCTTCACTACCTCTTCTACTATTGGATTTGAATTGACAATTATATCTCTGTGCTGATGTGGTACGGCAACATGAACTGATGTACTTACGTACGAAGTTCTACTTTGCATCTGACTGACAAACCTAATTTGTTTGATTTTACACGTTACGGTTTTCAACTTAAGTCAGTCAGTCAGTCAGTTGCAACGTAGAACTTCGTACGTAAGTACATCAGTTCATGTCGCCATACCACATCAGCACAGAGATATAATTGTCAATTCAAATCCAATAGTAGTAGAGGTAGTAAAGGTATTAGAAGTAATCGGAGAGGTTAGAATTAGGAGATATT